TTTTGCATTTAACATTCGTACTATTGAAATAAATTAATAAAATGTAATCATACATTTCTTTAAAGATTAATAAAACTTTGACAGCGAATTACACATTAACCAGAAAAGTTACGTTTATAATCAACTACATTTTTTTGTAAAGCATAATATTAGATTTTATTTACTTCTTTAATTTTTCATGTACCATTTGTATTTTTCAAATAATTTAATAAAATGTAATTACACATTTTTTTTGGAACATTAATATAACTTTGACAGCTAATTATACCACAACCAGAAAAGTTACATTTACAACCAACTACAGTTTTTTGTAACACATAATATTAGCTTTTATTTACTTCTTTAATTTTTAATATGCCAATCGTAGTTTTAAAATAATTTAATAAAATGTAATTACACAATTTTTCTTAAAAAAATTATAAAATTTTGAAAGCGAATTACAATATAATCATAAACGATACGTTTATAATCAACTAATATTATAATATCTCATAATATTAGATTTTATTTACTTCTTCACTTTGTATCTAACGTTCGTATTTTTCAAATAAATTAATAAGATGTAATCATACATTTCTTTAAAGATTAATAAAACTTTGACAGCGAATTACACAATAACCATAAAAGTTACGTTTATAACCAAACACATTTTTTTGTAACGTATAATATTAGCTTTTATTTACTTCTTTAATTTTTCATTTACCATTCGTAGTTTTCAAACAATTTAATAAAATATAATCATACAATTTATTTTTGAAAAATTATTAATTCTTTGACATTGAATTACGTAATAATCATAAGTGTTGCACTCGCAAGAATAAGCAATATTCATTCACTATATTTTTAGCTTTAATTTGCATATTCAACTTTATTAATGTGCGTACGTAGTTTACGAGAAACGTGAAGTCACCGCTGTTTCGACCGTAACATTATTTAACATTTGACAAACGAATTACGCCATAACTATAAACGTCACACTTACAATACTTTATGCGTGCAGTTTTAGCTTTTATTTGCATATTTGACTTTGCTTGTATCTTTAGTAGTTTTCGAGAAATTTATGAAAATCTACAGACACTTTTTTTTGTTGTTGCTGTTGAAAAATTACAATCAAATTTCATGTATAAAAATTAAGTGTTAAGTGCATATAGTTACATGAGTTTTTCGTAGTTTTCAATCTTACAATTGTGAAATATTTCCAATTCGTTGTGTCAAAATAGTAAATATTTAATGGACATTCCATGGAACAATCGCAGATTGGAATTTAACAATTTTCCATCTTTACTGCGGCACTCACACTTTACGCGCTGACATTTTGCAGAAAGTTCAACGGATTGGCAATAATTCTCGTATGGTATAAATTGTTTAATCCGTTCACATACAAACTTGCAAATTATACATTCACATATTTAATCAGACCTCTATTTATTCCGCCTTAATTATCTATACGTAATTTAAACTTTGTATATTTAATACTTTAAATTTATTAATAATGAATAATGGATAAGTTATACTTTAACTAATAATAAATATTGATTTTCAAATTTTAACAAATGCAATACGAAACGTGATTGTTTTGTTTGTTAACGGTAGCTCTTTTAAACTATTTCTATTGTTTCAATTGTTTATGTTGTTGTTGTTTTTTTTCTTTTCTTTTGTTATTTTCGTTTCGCAAACAACAAACAAATGATTGTATGAGAAACAAACGAATGCTCATGTTTGTTATCTGTCAATTTAATACATTTGTGGCTTTAATTAATAGAAAAAAAAAACAGTACTTAATTAGTATACTTGTTTAATTTATACGTAATAATATCATATTAATTTACAAATATTAAACAAATGAAGGATGGAATGCAAGGTAACACCTCTCTTTCGAACGATTGCTTTTGTTTCAATTGATGATGCGATATTGTTATTGCATTTCTTATTTTGATCGTATCGTTTTGAAAACAGCAAACAAAAGAATATATGGGAAACAAACAGAAGCACGAGTTTGTTTTTAATCCAAATTCATGTTAATAATCAAATTACTTTTTGAAATCTCTCATATTATTGAATTCTTTTCATTATTTGTAATAGAAAAATTTCATTTCTATAAATGTAATAATTGAAAATTCTGTTTTCTTTTTTTGATAATTCCAATATTGTTTGATTCTCTTAGTTTTTGGAAAAGTCAATTTTTTTCTCATTCTCTTTTAGAAGTGTAATATAATCTCGTTCACTCACATTTTTTGTAAAAGTCCAACATTGTTTAAAGTTTTTGAAATTTTCAACATCGCCTCATTCTCTCAATTCTTGAAAAAATATAAAATGTCCTAAATCTGTTAATTTTTCTGCAGTTTTAGCTTTTATTTGCACATTTCACTTTGCTTGTAGCTTTAGTGGTTTTGGAGAAATTTATGAAAATGTAAAGACACTTTTTTCATATTTTTTGTAAAAGTCCAACATTGTTTAAAGTTTTTGAAATTTTCAACATCGCCTCATTCTCTCATTTCTTGAAAAAATATAGAATATCCTAAATCTGTTAATTTTTCTGCATTTTTAGCTTTTATTTGCACATTTCACTTTGCTTGTAGCTTTATTGGTTTTGGAGAAATTTATGAAAATGTAAAGACACTTTTCATTTTACAAAATTACATAATTTCAGGTTTAACATCATATTACTAGTAAAACAATAAATGTAAGTAGTATAAATGCAAGAATATAAGTATTTTATAACTTGTAGTCTTACGTTTTACTTGCATTTTCATATTTACAAGTTTATCGTAGATTTTCTGGTATTTTTTTGAAATAATCTCATTTTCTCATATTTTTTTAAAAGTCCAACATTGTTTAAAGTTTTTGAAATTTTCAACATCGCCTCATTCTCTCATTTTATGAAAAAATATAAAATGTCCTAAATCTGTTAATTTTTCTGCAGTTTTAGCTTCAATTTGCATATTTGACATTGCTTGTAACTTTCGTGGTTTTGGAGAAATTTATGAAAATATAAAGACACTTTTTTTTTGTAGAAAATTACATAATTTCAACTTTAATATCATATTACTAGTAAAACAATCAATCTGATAAAATATCTTATCATAAAATGTCTTAAATCTGTTATTTTTTCTGCAGTTTTAGCTTCAATTTGGACATTTGACTTTGCTTGTAGCTTTCTTGGTTTTGGAGAAATTTATGAAAATGTAAAGACACTTTTTTTTACATAATTTCAAGTTTAACATCATATTACGAGTAAAACAATAAAATTAAGTAGTATATATGCAAGAATATAAGTATTTTATAACTTGTAGTCTTACTTTTTACTTGCATTTTCATATTTACAAGTTCTTCGTAGATTTTCTGGTATTTTTTTTTGAAATAATCTCATTTTCTCATAAGTAAAATTTTGTTAATTTCTATTGGTTTTTTAATAGTTTTGCAATATTTTTTGAAAAGTTCACAAAATTCTCATTCTTTCAATAATATTTCTCTTAGTTTTTTAAATTTCCAAGTTTCAAATTTGTGAAAACATGAAAAATACTTTCATTCTAGCAATTTTCTTGAAAAGTCTACTTTTGTCACAATTCTTATTTCCTTAGTTATTGGAATAATCTTAACTGTTAAAGATTTTTAGTTTTAATAAATATCTTTATATGCTTCATCTTTTATAACAACACACTAAGTTACTTAATCTAAGTGTTTCATGTATCAATCAGGAACTGTATGTTAACGTCAATTTGTGAATGATTTGTTAGGATTTTTCATGAAGTTTACCTCACGGTTGTCTCGAATCCTCTTGGACATGACATGTATACACTTAGTCTGTGAGTTATTCGGATGTTATCCGGGTATTTCGAAACTGAGTTTTTGGCGTGCAGAAAGTGCGTGCGTGTGTATGCATGCATGTGCTTTCCGGGAGTGAAAAACATATTTGTAATATAAACACTTACTTTAATAGCAACAGAATCGGAATCGTTTGATCTAAATTTATCTAGAAAGAGGAGAGAGATCGGTGAGCCTTGTCTCTGTATATGCGTATACGCGTTCAATCTCACCGTTACGTCACCACAATCAGGCGAAAAAGAAAGATATACGAAATACGACACGAAATCATATGATATATTTATACGGTGGGTGGAACAAAAAAAAAGAAAAAAACATAAAAATTTTGAGCAAAAATTTATATTTGTGAAAAATCTGGGCTTCGACCTAAATGTTCGAATCGTATAATAAGAGCGCGACTCACTTTCTTCTTTGACGATGAAGATTGGGATGTTGTGCAGCAGCCCTTTTCTCTTTGCTGGCGGTTCAAATGCAACGGCAGCAAAGTGGAAAAAGACAAATCCACAAGTCCAACGGAATTGATTGAAACACATTGAAAGTCGATGAAATTATTATGGTTGTAACAGTAAGAAGGGTGGCGGCGACGTCCCACGATGAAAAGCACTCTGCAAGTGCTGCGAGTTAATCGGGTCGAGTCGGCGGGACGGGGATTCCCCGTGGTGATCTCACTTTGTTGCATTTGTTTCCATCGGCCGCCCTTGCGTCATCAGCAACTCCTTATCAACGGCCTCGAGCGCGCTCGCAGAACATTCTGGTTGTTACCGTGGTTATTACCATGGTTACGCAATCTATTCCTTTGTTTCTGCGAACAATAACAACCGAACAATTCAAACTTTTACCAATAATTCACTATCGAAACTATTAAATTATTTATAACAAACTTAATCGCAAGATTAAACCAAGTTTCCAATTAAATCTAGTTTTTTTTTTTTAAATATTTCAATAGTTTTCTTCAATAAAAGTCATTTTAAAGCCCTAATTGATCCTCTCATTTGTCTAAATCAATCTTTTAAATAAATTATTAATTAAACATCTTGTTATGATTAAAACAATAAAAACTGAAGGTTTATTGCATGGAACGAACGTAAAGTATGTTCGCAACTTTACAATGAAATCAATGCGGAATAAAAGAGTAGTACTTGGAACGGTGTGAGAGAAAAAAGAGTAACGCGATCACAATAATTTACGACCGATAATGTATGGTGTAAACAAGTAATGCGTGTTGTTAAAATCTAAATTATTGGTTTCANNNAAGGAAATAATTAAATACAGTGCAGAACAGCAATTAAAAACACATCGTCTTGCGTTCCACGAGTTAAATAATGAATTCCATAATTAATCGACAGGTGAGATTCATCCTTGAAGGATTGACGTAAATTGTCACTTTGACAGCTGTGGATGCTATGTTTTTAGAACATGATCATCTCTTGATTATGTAATAATTTCTGCAATTATTAATAAATATTAACCATTTCTACAAGTATTAATTCGGTAATGTATGGTTAATTAAAATATTTGGTAATTTATATACAAATGTTATTGAAAATTTGACGTATTTTTGACACATACTTTGTTAGATATTAATAAATTTTAAACGTCAAATTAATACAAAATCAAATTATGTTTAATTATAAACTAATTAAATTGATTATGTAATAATTTCTGCAGTTATTAATAAATATTAACCATTTCTACAAGTATTAATTCGGTAATGTATGGTTAATTAAAATAATTGGTAATTTATAACAAATGTTATTGAATATTTGACGTATTTTTGACACATACTTTGTTAGATATTAATAAATTTTAAACGTCAAATTAATACAAAATCAAATTATGTTTAATCAATTATAAACTAATTAATGCGAAGGTTATGATTATGTCAGGTATAATTGAAAATTTGACGTTTCAGATTTGACATAAGAATTAACAAATTTGATAACTATATTGAAAAGGTCATTAATTATGTGAAGTGACAATAATTGTAATATTTAAACGTCAAATTGACGTTTGAAGTATTTATAGATGACGTTTATAATGATTAATGTGAGGTTAAAAACGACGATTATTATAATAAAATGTCAAATTGACGTGAACGCGTGTTGTTTTCCAATTGGCGTTCAGATGAGCGCGAATTTCAAATTTGGGTCGAATTCATCATAATCGTGAAGGAAACGTGCGCAAAGCATAAACATAAATAAAAAACGAATGAGTATTTTCACTTACTCACAAACGGTGATTGCATATGACCTCAGCGTCGGCGAAGGTGGAACTTAATAATCGCTATTTGCAAATGAACAATCGAGATTTATTTCCCTCGACCACTTAATTTTCCTTCTTATTTTTTTCTTTTTCTTTTGTTTCTATTATTATTTATTAATTCATCGTCGTGTGGAAATTGTGGCCTTCTTGATTGCGGTGCAACAGTTTTTCCTCGGTCGGACGACGAATTTTCGCCTATTTCCAGGTTGGGCAAAAGGTGAACAACAGGAGAGGCGTCTGGAAATAGACGTGCAGAATCTCTTAACACCTTGTCCCGTGCGTTTGCAGAACCATTGTTCCTGATGTTTACGGTTTGCGTGGAAATAGCTTTACTTTTTTTTTTGCTTGGGAACAAATCGTCTTTTGCATCTGCTCAGCTCTTGAACGATGTCGAAGAAGTGTCGAGAAGAGGGAGACTTTACGTAACTTTGTAAATAAATTAGTCGGTTTCGGAGAAAAATCGTTGAAAATTAGTTAGAAATTTCAGTACAAGAAATGTGAGTAATGTTCATTGGAAAATGCGAAATTATTATAACTTTTCTTTGTAATCTTCAATGAAAAACTGTGTATTTGTAGTGGAAAACAAAACCAAGAAATGTTAATTGAAAACATATGAAATTGTAGAACAAATCGAATCCAAGAAATGTTATATTCTCAATGAAATTCTATAAAATCTCTTTCGCAAAACCGATTTCCGATAATTCATTGGAAAATGCAAAAGAATGATATATTTCTTTGGAAAAACCGAATACAAAGGAATTTTCACTGAAAAAAACGATGTATTTATAGTGAAAAACGAATGCAAAAAATGTTAATTAAAAAGTATAAAAAAATGCCAAATTATATAGCGTTTTAGTGAGAAAAAATAACAATTTTTTTTCGGAAAAGAAAATTCAAGAAAAGTTAATTGAAAATTTTCATAAATTCTATAAGTTTTCTTTCATAAATATCGAATTTATGTAATATTCATTGGAAAATCGTGAATTCATGGAGAAATTACATAACGATTTCTTGCATAAATTGGAATAACATTTCTTAGAAATTTTTATTATAAACTTGTTTCAAATCAATAGAAATCTAGTAGCTGCACCGAACTAACTCAAAATAATAACCATTTCCATGGTTACATAAACATAAATAACGTACATTTCAAGATTAGTATACTTAACAATTAGTCAGTCTAACAATTAGTCAAAAATAAGTGATTTAATGTAAGAATGAGTGTTAATTAGTACACTTAACAATTAATCGTTCTGTAATGCAAAGAAAAAAATAAAGAAATATTCAAAATTTCTCACCGTCGGATACTCAACAAATATTTGTGTATATTTTTCAAACAAACTAAGTGATTTAAAGTAAGAATCTGTGTAAATTAGTAAACTTAACAATTAGTCAGTCTGTAATGCAATTAGTTTTTGCATAAATTGCAATATTTCTCATTGTCAGAAATAGAAGAAACTTATGTGTCTACAAGCAATAAAAATAAGAAATTTTAATTTTACAATTAGTGAACTTTACAATTAGTCATTCTGTAATAGAATGAAAAAATTGTAACAAAAATTAAATATTTATAACTGTCAGAAATGCTATAAACATTTGTGTGCAAGCAACAAAAATAAGTGATTTAATGTAAGAATGAGTGTTAATTAGTACACTTAATAATTAATCATTCTGTAATGCAAAGAAATTAGATACCGTCGGATATTCAACAAACATTTGTGTATATTTTTCATGCAAACTAAGTGATTTAAAGTAAGAATCTGTGGAAATTAGTAAACTTAACAATTAGTCAGTCTGTAATGCAATTAGTTTTTGCATAAATTTTAATATTTCTCATTGTCCAAAATAGAAGAAACTTATGTGTCTACAAGCAACAGAAATAAGAAATTTTATTTTTACAATTAGTGAACTTTACCAATAGTCATTCTGTAATGCAATGTGCAAGCAAGCAACAAAAATAAGTGATTTAATGCAAGAATGAGTGTTAATTAGTACACTTAACAATTAATCGTTCTGTAATGCAAAGAAAAAATAAAGAAAAATTCTCACCGTCGGATATTCAACAAACATTTGTGTATATTTTTCAAGCAAACTAAGTGATTTAAAGTAAGAATTAGCACATTTAACAATTAGTCATTCTGTAATGCAAAGAAACATTATTAATTTTAAAAAAAAATGTGGAAATTTGATGAGTTGTAAATGTTTATAAATAAGTGCAAATAGTCTTTGTAGATAAAAATAAATAGTACTTCTGTAATGCAACTAAATTGTAACAAAAAAAAAACTACATATTTTTCAATGTCGAAAATTTCATAATGCGTAAAACCGTTTCGTGTAGAAGCATTACGACCGCAATGAAACAATTAAACGAAAATAAACGCGTTAAATTCTATTTAATATGCATCCATTAAATCTTACAAACTAAGTCATTAAGAGCGCACTTTAACGCCGGAATATTTCGGTGCGCGATTACTATTATAACTATTATTATTGTTTGGTCTCGTTATCAATGAGCAAACCAACCAACAATGCAGCAATTTTATTGCTACGACGAATTGCACCTAGTTCCTTTTCATCTGTAAAAAAAAAACCAAGCCAATATCTAATCAACGAGTGCACATGCATACATCACGATTTTGCACGCTCTCAGATTTATGACGCGCTTACAAAAAAGGTGATATAACGCGACGGCCGTGCGGAACGCAAAACGTTAACACTAATCGTAAAAAGAAACAATTTTTTTTTGTTTTTTTTGGAAGATGAACACTTTCTTGTTGATTATTCGCACTTTTTCCAAGTAGGCCGAGGAACCGGAAAACAATGAAAACACGAAACATTATAACGCAGTTCTCCAGCTTCTTAATTCCGCCTCTTCCTCTTGCGAGTCCTGCGTCTCTTCGACGTCGCGACGCTCCTCTCCGAACTCGACTTCATCAGCTGCTGGTACGAACCGTGTATCCAACTGAAGATACCGAAGATCAGTGCCTTGAAGACGTTATAGAACCAGAACGTCGGCACGGCGTGCTTCCTCTCACCTCTCATTACTTGATAAATCGAAAATTCACTCAAATCGCGAAAACTTCAATTTCACATTTCTGACACTTCGTCCGACCAATCGCAGTGAAGTTGTCAATGGCAACCTTAAATTCGAGCCTCAGTCTACTTCCGGTAGTCGCACAATTGTCTGTTTCAATGTCAAATTAGTTCAAAGTGTTTTTAGTTCAAAGTTCGAGTCCGTACATTCAGGTGAGCGATATTTCAGAACAAAACGAATAAGCGAAATTGATCTTACATAATTCGAAACACTGAAAAACTGGTTTAAAATGAATGTGCGCACAAACGTTGACAACAGGTTATGGCAATTCAATTGTTGATTGTTTTATTTTTACCTAATCCAAATCCAAAGCCAACTCTATTTTTTTTTATGAAATGCAACTAATATTAGATATCATTTCGAACCACTGACCCAGTTTTTATTTTATCTCTTTTCATATGAAAATTCGAAATGGTTTCATAAATTAATTTTAGAAATCATTTAGTTTTTTTTTGCTTAAAAATTAGTATAGTTTAAACAGCAATGCAGTTTAATTTGAGTTATTTATACAGAACAAATAATTTAACTATTTTGATGGATGAATATGAAGAGAGTTATAGAAAGCTACTTTTCTATAACATTCTTATGAGTTGAAATAATTTAAAAATAAATTTCAAATCAAGAAGAAAGTAAATTTTAACTATAGGAAATCTAAGTTCAGAAAAGTTGCATGGAAACTATATGAAGAATTTTGTATACATTTCATATGAATTTAATTAATGTAAATAGCAGAAAATCAAATGTTTTTATTAAAAATTTCAAATGAAGAAAACAATAAATTTAATGTAACATTTTTTATTATAGAAAATTTAAACAAAGAAAAGTTAAATATTCATAAATATAAACTTTATGAATAATTTTCTGTAGTTATTTTATATATTGAAACAATTTAAATCATAGAAAATTAAAGATTTCATTCAAAATTGCAAATGAAGAAAACTATAAATGTTAGGAAATAATTGGAACTATAAAAAAATTAAGTTTAAAAAGTTGAATATTCAGAAATGTAAACTTTATGAACGATTTTCTATACATTTCTTATCAATTGAAGCAATTCAAATCACTTCGTCGATGACGTCCGCTCCGACCAATCGCAATGAAGTTGTCAATGGCAACCGTAAATTCGAGCCTCAGTCAACTTCCGGTAGTAACACAATTGTCTGTTTCAATGTCAAATTAGTTCAAAGTGTTTTTAGTTCAAAGTTCGAGTCCGTACATTCAGGTGAGCGATATTTCAGAACAAAACGAATAAGCGAAATTGATCTTACATAATTCGAAACACTGAAAAACTGGTTTAAAATGAACGTAAACGTGCGCGCACAAACGTTGACAACAGGTTATGG